TGGCAGCGGCGATTCAGTGCTTACGGTTAATGTGATGAATATACTATTTATATTTAAAGCCTTAACTTCTGATCTAGAAGCGAAAATGATCATAGAATGAGTAGATGAGGATTATAAAAAAATATGTACTATAACGGTGTCGCCATCATAAGAGGCAATAGGCGTTTTAATCACCATTGCTTATAGACCTTGATTTTTTAGATGACGGGGAGAAAAAATGCATTATGTCCACGACAATGACGATGTATCAAAACATTACAGAAATAATTATTGATTTGAAATGTCACATATCGTCATGCCTTGGTATTTTTTTACTTAAAAGTGACGTCACACACACTCCCAAACTTTTACGCGTTTTATCTTTGTAATTTTTTGGTTGATTGACAAAATAAAAAATAAGTGTCCATTACTTTTTGACAATAATGTAACTGACGGAATAAATATAATTTCATAAACTTCACTCCGTCATCATCCTAAAAGCTCACAGAGGGTAGGTAATCAAAATGTATTATCTCAAACGCCTTCATGCTTCGGGAGGCATGGTAAGCCACAGTTGTCAGCACCCACATAATATCTGGACTCGCTATGGTGGGCCATGGCCCATTCTCCGTATTCATCCTTGGGGAATGCCCCAGCAGTGCATGAAAAAGCTGATAACAATGATATAAGTCCATCTTTATGCCAAACCAATCGCGCATTAGCTGTAATGACATTAATCATATAATATTATTAAAAAGAAATATTACAGCCGAAACCTCTGAACTTGCGCTGGTTTCACAAATATACTATGTAAACATTATGTCTCGTAACTTATACCATACTTAGAGTCATCCAAAGGACCTAATAAAAAGCGACGGGATAAAATGATTTATGGGATAACTAGATAAAGGGAGTGCCAAGTTTAGTCGACTCGCGTCTTGGAGATAAGACGATAATAATAGATTCGTTACTTTTGTCACGGTGCGCCCGCTGCAAAAAGACCAAGCTCACTTAAGGTGGTATCCCACGATCTGTGTTGTCGCGGGAAAGGCCACGCCACACAGGGTTGCCAAACGTATGAGAACTCTAACGTTCGAGATTAAGCAGTATTTGTACAAGATACGAGGTAAATAGATAACACGTACACTATGATTTGAACAATGTTGACTGCTTGTATCATGTACAAAAAACAAAAATATTACCAGAAAGCAAATAAATGACCAGTCCACAAAAGATCGTCTCAGTAAGTACAGATTCAATATACCATCACTAAATGCATTCTTATTCGTATCATCGTATCATCCCCTCGTATCATGTATAGATACTGCTAAATCTTGAACGTTCGAGTTCTCATACGTTTAGCAACACTGCACACGCGGCGTCGCCCGTGTGAACACAGATCGTGGGACAGCGGCTTAAGGGGCATGAAGCGAGTCAAGTTATTTTATGCAAATTGGTTTAAGTCTCAAAGCGAAATTTACCGAGACAGATAGCCAGTGTCGAGGCCAAGTCTCATCTATTGGATCCAAATCTATGATTTCGAGTTCTGCAGTACTATAATCTGAGATTACATCCTAAGTTACGACATTCCACGTAGAGGTGGCTTTAATGGTAAAAAAAAATATCAGCTGGTAGACTATAAAATTTATAAGATGCCTTATGCTTCACAACTTAAAGTCGCATATAACATAGGTTATGTTCGAGCTTGCATAGGCAAGCTCGTACGTCGCATGAAGGCAATAGTATATCCATTTCACTTACACGAATTTATCTTAATCCACGGGCCGCCACCCATTTTACGTTTTATGCATATAAATTTGAGCTTTAAACTCATCACACTAAAGTTTACGGTAGAATATATTTTTATTAGGTCGGCCTGTGGTTTAAATTATTTATTACTAGCTGTGCCCCGCGATGTTACCCGCGGTTTATTAGGGATATTTTCTAGCAGTAAAACATAGCCTATGTGTTAATCCAGGTTGTCAGCTAACTTCATATCAAATTTTATTAAAATCGCTCTAGCCATTTAGACATAAAGAACACACCCACAAACTTATATTGCTTAAAAATTCAAAATTCAATGTCGGTTTGTTTCTTAGGTTTTCACGCACATCACTCATTAAATAAAACTAGTTTTTACGGGTTAATGCACGAAACTTTATTTATTTATTGATGTCGGTTATTCAGCCTAGGCTGTTACAAGCACTTGTGAATATCGAAAAGCTACGCCATCGGTTCACAAATCTTCGGCGGGAGTCCTTGAACTGAGAAGAACCGGCAAGAAACTCAGTAAGAGCTGTTTTTTTCTCCCTGTTATATTTCATACAGTGTCATCCAATTGAAAGTTGACATCAAACTTGCAAACATGTGTTGAGGTCAACTTCCATCACGTAATGTCAAATACGTAACAATAGACATTCAATGATTTTACTTCTACTTATTTTAATGAGTGTAAAGAAAAGACCCCCAGTTTTAATATAACTTTTGAAAAATTATCTATAGGTAACATTACAACTAGGTCATTTAATCATTCAAATATTGATTCACAGTATAATATCCTTTCTTAAGTAAGCAATTCTTAACGTGTATTTTAAATTTATGAAGAGGCAAATCAAGAATATCATTAGGAATCTTATTATAGAAATGTACACCTTGACCATATATGATTTATGAACCTTCTGTAACCTGTAAGTTGGTATGTTAAGTTTATTTTTATTTATTCCTTGTATTAAAAGAATGTGTGTCACTGTATTTGAGATAATAGTTAATATTGTTTCGAACAAAAAGTATACAATTATAAATGAATTGTGAAGCAACAGTCAAAATCCCGATTTCTTTAAATTTTTCTCTAAGAGATGTTCTATAACTAAGTTGATAAATAGCCCTTATAACTCTTTTTTCCAAGATAAATATAGTTTCAATATCGGCTGCTGTTCCCCAGAGAATAATACCATAGGACACAATACTATGAAATTAACTAAAGTATACAGTTCTAGCAGTAGCTAATACATCAGTAAGATGTCTTATTTTACGTATGGCATAGGCTGTTGAACTGGGTTTACCAGCTAGCAGAGAAATATGACGATACCATTGCAATTTTGAATCTATTGTTATACTTAAGATTATCGTTGATTCAACTAAATCTATGTTTTTATTGTTTAATTTAATTCTAATGGTTTTATTTCTAACATTAGGTAAAGTGAATTTAATGCATTTGGTTTTATTTGCATTTAATTTTAAGTTATTTACAATAAACCAGGGCAATACTTGTGAGAGAGCATTATTTACATCGTCAAAGTTATTCTTGTATCGGTCATACTTAAGAAATAAAGAGGTATAATCAGCAAACAATACTATCTCACACAGTACTCTCGCGTTAAACGTTAAAATCGACATGAATTGAATGACTATTTTTATATCATGTGGTTGGAAATATTTATCGAATATATGTGTTAATTTTTGAAGTGAAAACTTTTTTATGGTCGTTGTGGCTTGAGATTCGATAGAACGGAAGTAGAGTATTTGACACAAGGTAAATATTTTGTAATACACTGTAAGAGACGGATAAGGATACCAAAAGATCGGTGATTCGATCCTGCGCTTGGGAAATGTTATTTTACCATCGCTATTATTTATTTTTGAAACTTTATTTATGAATATTTAAGTATTCCCGGCATAATTATTACAATACTTATTTCTAGAGAACGGAGCGAACTCATTAATGAGTCCTTTTAACTCGCAATGGAATTTTACACACAATTGTTATAAATTGTGGCCACAATTCCAACGCGTACAAAGAAATTTGGTGACTCATTTCTTTGTCGCACTATCCGTAAATGGAATGCTCTGCCCGCTCACGTGTTCCCTCCCTGTTACAACCTGGGATCCTTTAAAAGAGGCGTGAAGAAGCAACATGCAGGCCGGCAGGGTGAGGATGGCTGGTTTGGCAGGTAAAACTGCTGTATCAGCTATCTTCACGTCTGGACTTCACCTTCACTTAACATCAAGTGGGGTGGAGTCATTTGTCGGACCTATAAAAAAAAAACACAGTCGTGTTGCCACCAAGAAAGAGCGGAAAATTTTTACTCGTGTGTCCGTCCACTGCGTCGTAGTCGAGCTCGCATGCTGTAGAAATCAAAATTCATTTTTCACTTCTCATTTTAATTTCATCTCTTTTCTTTCATTCCTCTTTGGCAATAGAAATCACTCCCAAACTCTTTCTCGGTGGAAAAGACATACTATTTTATGTCGACGAGGACCACTCCGCTAGACATCCTTAGTTCATTCCTCTCTGGCGATGGAAAACAGGCTTAAGGCTCGTAAAAGTGTTAGGAGTTTCCTTATCCATTTTTAATCCTAATATTTCAGGGTACTTATTTAAGTTCTTGTTGACTATTCCCTGATATTGTGGTTAAAGGGTAGAATATTTCCATTTTCAAGTTTTGATTTCAAAAATCAGTTACGTAGGTTACGAAAAGTGTAGGGCCAAAATGACCTGAGGTATGCCATTCGCAATTTATGACTCAAAGCTACAAACACCTACACGCGAACTACTTGACTCCTTATTTTTTTTAAAATGACACATGTCTTTGAGCAAATAATTGAGTATGTAATCAAAGTAATATTATAAACGTGAAAATTTGTGAGTAAGTGAGTGTGTATGTTTGTTACTTTTCCACGTCTAAACGGCTAGAGCGATTTTAATAAAAAAATGGTATGGAGTTAGCTAACACCCTGGATTAACAAAGGCTACGTTTTACTACGGGAAAATATCTTATTCCCATGGGAAATCGATGATGTGAATAGTTATTATTTTTATTGTCAATACACAATTTATTTTCCCTAATCAACCGCGGGTAACACCGCGGGGCACAGCTAGTTTGAAATAAAAGTACGATAGCAAACATTTTGACCTCAATGACAAGACGGTGATATAATATTATTGTCCTGTTTTTATCAATGAACTCATTAAGTCTGATGTTTACCTACCAACCTCAGTAGAATCAACACCGTGGCCAAAGAAAGATGTGTATGCAATGATACATGTAAAAACATTTATAATACGTATTACGTTATGTGTCGCATGATATTGTTTGTTGTAATTCATTCGATTGTGTTTTTAAGTAAGTACGTTTTTTTTTGTCTAAGTTATATAAAGTTACTAGCTGACCCAGCGAACTTCGAATTGCCATAAAATTGTAGGTAGGTAGAAGGGTTAAAATTAAGGGTTGTATTTATTTTATAATACCACATTTTAAACAAAATAAAAAGAAAAATTATGACCAAAAAAAAAATTTAACGGTGGACCACCCTTAACATTTAGGGGGATGAAAAATAGATGTTGTCCGATTCTCAGACCTACGGAATATGCATATAAAATTTCATAAAAATCGGTAAAGCTGTTTCGGAGGAGTTCAATTACGCACACCATGACACGAGAATTGTATATATTAAATAGTAGTTCACCTTTGTTGCGCCGTCAAATAAGTTTTTTTTTAGTATGAAGAATAGGTCGCCCTGGCGTTCAAAGTAAGATAAAACCAATATTTTTCAATTGATGAAGGCAAAGGATTCAAATATATTAAAACAACTGACATTGAGAGATTTAATTTAAAAAACATCATGTAAAGTGAAATGTCGATTTTAAATAATCATGCACCTACTTAATGCTCTGGAAATACCAATGATGTATGTTGTTCTTTTTATTCGTAAGTATTTGGATCTATATCTATATCCGATACTATCGCGTTAACCCCACAAAACAAAACAGAAGATAAGCACTTTAAACAAGTAATCAAATAAAAAAAATATTTATTATTTCCCTTGTCCATTAATTGTTTTGGTATAAAACTTTTTTGTCTTTATGCCAAAAGTATAATTAAATATTGTTATTCCTTTGATGAACTGCTATACTTATTTAAATGATTTTGTTATTATTGCATGTATACTTACAGATGCACAACGCGATAAGAAATTCTTTCGAAATGACTACACATATTTAGAAGAAACTGATAGTTTTTACAAAGTACACAAAATTCGTAAGACCTGGCAAGATGCGAAATCTGTGTGTGACATGGAAGGAGCTACGTTCTTTTATCCTCAAGACGAAAAAGAAGCTAATGTTGTATTAGAATTTTGGAAAAAAACACAAAATCTTAATTACTTTTACATTGGAGTTGCAGACCTGGTGGTTGAGGGTGTTTTTGTAACTACTGACGGTAAATTTTATTAAACACAATTGATAAGAAATTCGTAAATGAGTTGTTCTCTTGTTCTGGCAGTTAGTGCTTTCTTCGTAGCGATGATACTCGCAAAATAAATAGCCTTACGACTTTTTCTCCGCCGGAGAATGTCACGCAATTTGTGTTACTCTAAAACTCTCTAGTAAACTTAATTTGCCGGTCAAAATTAATATTGTTTGTCTATTAGATCTTAGGTCTTACCCTCATCTTTTTATTTTTTAGCCTTTTTCTCAATCGTTTTGTAAATAATAGTAGTAACTGTTATCCAAATCCAAGAAATCCTACTAAAATCATATCTTTTGCTCTTCAGGTATTGCTATAGATGACGTATACAGCAAATGGCGTGACGGTGAACCCAACAACGTCAATGGTCAAGAACACTGCGTGAATCTCATGACTGATGGCACTCTGAACGACAACAAATGCGACGAGAAATTATCTTTTATTTGCAAGAAGAAGCGTAGCATGATAAAGTGGAACCAGTTCTGTAATATTCCTGCCATTGGTAAGTTACATTTTTGAGAATAAAGACTTCTTTCTTTTATAAATAATCGTTTCTTTGTCGTTATTTTCATCGACGCTATCGGGGTTTGGGGTCGAATAAAGTCATTGCTTATTGAGAAAGACTTTATAATCTATCTGAGATGACCAATATGTATTGTAGCCTTTGTATTTTGTTATTTAGGATTTGGTTTAATGTAGTCCACTACAAATCGTTAAGTAATTGAAACTTTTACTTTTAGGTTACAATTACAGTGAGACTGTTGGCAATTGTTACAAACTCCATTTAATACCTCGCACTTGGACGGACGCGTTCATTATATGTAATGCAGAGCATTCATATTTAGCAATCGTAGACAGTAACGCTGAAGCAGAATATCTGAAACAGTTGTTTCTTAATGCCCCCAAGAATAACATCGTAGGCGACTATCTAAGAGACGAAGTTTTATTGGGTTTTCATAACAGAAATGGAGACGGATGGAAAACAGTCAAAGGTATTGATTTCATTTTAACATTTAAAACAGTTTTTTATTCTTATTTGATCAAACGTCTGGGATTACAAAATCTCGACAACTAGAATCTAGATAACGTTTTTCTGCAGAATGCGTTCCTTCCTACCAGGGAGTAAGGCTTCCAAAAACTGAGAGTTAAATTAGGACAGCACTCAGTGTAGTCATAAAAAAAAACCGGACAAGTGCGAGTCGGACTCGCGCACCGAGGGTTCCGTACAAACCTGCAAGGTTTACAAAGTTCGTTCATTACGACAATCGAGTCATAACTATGGTATTTTTATTGCAAAATGAAATTCATAACATTACAATGGGGAAAGATGGAGGAGCATAAATTTAAGACAAAGATCTCTTTATCGTTTAAGTAATATGGTTGTACTTTTGCGTTTTGCGTTTTTGCGTTGACTTAGAATTCTTTTTTTTTCACGGGTTAAAGGCAATTAGATCTAAGTATTTGATATGAATTTCAACTTGATAGCTCTACGCGTTCATGAGGAAAAAAGTAATAAGTTTATATTTATTAAAAAATATATATTTTGTAATGTAACTAAAAATTTAAGGTTTTCGGAATTTTTCCTTTATGTGTGCTATAAAACGTTGCTTCATGCCAAATTTCAAGATTCTAGGTCGACTGGAAGTACCCTTTAGGTTTTGATTCCCTTGCGAGTACTTGCGAGTTTCAAAATATGCAGCTTAAATTGCTGTTTCTTTTGATTGCGTTGACATAGAAGTTTGATTTTGTTACAGCTTAAAGGTATTATAGACCTGAGTATTTGGTATGAATTTCAATTTAATACCTCTACGCGTTTATGAAGGAAATGGGTAGTAAGGTTAAAATTATTAAAAAAAAATATATTATGTGATGTAACTAAAAATTTATGGTTTTCGTAATTTTTCCTTTATCTATGCTATAAGACGTTGCTTGGTACCAAATTTCAAGATTCTGAGTTCACGGGAAGCACCCTGTAGGTTTTGATTCCCTTGCAAGTGTCGAAAATTTGCGGCATAAACGACTGTATCTTTTGATTGCGTTGGCTTAGAAGTTTGATTTTTTCACAGCTTCAAGGGACAGTAGACCTGAGTAATTGATATAAATTTCAGCTTCATACCTCCACGCGTTCCTGAGAAAAAGGGTCTTGACAGACGGACGGACGGACAGACGGACAACAAAGTGATCCTATAAGGGTTCCGTTTTTCCTTTTGAGGTACGGAACCCTAAAAATATTGTGTTGTCTTCTTTTAATGTAATCTCTATCATTAAAACTTCGTCTGCAGGAACTGCTTTGGAAAATAGTGCTTACTCTAAATGGGGCTACCAGCAACCTGACGGTGGTGACGACGAGGAGTGTGGGTCCATGTTCATGTTCTGTAACGCAACATTGAATGACGTCAGCTGCTCAAAAAAAGGGCTCTTCATATGCGAGCACGACGTACCTGACCAGCGTCGGTTATTTAAAAAAATATTCTCGGGGAAGAAATCGTCAATTTTTAATGTGTTTTCTTGAAGTTATTCAAACGGGATTAGTGAGTATTGTTTTCACCAGCAACATTACCTAAAGAACACAAAAGTACTGTTAATAAAAAGTATTTATGACAAAGTAGGTAACAAGAATACAAACCATAAGACTTATCAATATTTCTATACATTTTAAATAAACTTTTTGTAATCATTGGCAAATTATAAAAGTTGTTTTGATTGCATGATGCCTTTACAGGTGACTCCGTCTTAATAAATGATTTAAAACCTTGATTGTTGTGTGCCATAATACCATTTTCCTTAATATCTAATATAAATAAATAAATAATTATTTCGAACACTCACACCAATTAGCCTAGCCCCAAAATAAGCACTGTAAGGCTTGTGTTATGGGATGTTTGGGTAATGAATAGAATACATATACTGTGCATATATAAGTTATAAGTATATTCATATAGAAATATATATTAAACATCCATGACTGGAGTACAAATGCTCGTATTCATCATACAAACATCTGCCACCACCGGGATTCGAACCCTGGACCTCTCGAGTCGGCGACACCATGAAACCTGGCGTATAAACCACTCGGCCACGGAGGTCATCAAAATCTCTTATCTATTAGACGAGTCCGTCTGTCCGTGGTGCTGTTTCAGCGGCCAAACCGTAAGAGATAGATAAAGAGAATATTTAAGTTATAAGTTAAGAATAGTCTGATAAGACTACAAACCGGATTTGAGTAACGTAGCAACACAAAATCTCCGAAGTTCTCAATTAATTAAATACATTTTTTTTTAAATCAGGTTTTGGTGAACATTTGGTTCACTGGTTTGCTAGTAGGATTGAATCTTTCGTTTTCACCAGCAACAATCCAAGTATTAAATGACACTTTTTTTACACGATTTTCATGTAAAATGAGGTATTAATTTGTTGTGAAGCTGACATTGTAGCAGACACATCCAGCAGCTGGACCGACCGAGCACAAAACAGACGATACGTATTTCTGGCAACTGCTTTGGTTTTTCTTTTTAATTCAAAAGTAAAGTCATCAAGTTGTTTGCACGAGGGTACCTACCTACAGCTATTTTCGAGTATAGCTTCAGTAAAGTTTGTGGAAAAAGACGATTTAGGGCGAGGCCGAGAATTTTGCCACATTTCATGTCCTTCAAAGAAACCTTCTTGTTTTTATATAGAGTTACTAAATAGGGATTTCCTGGAATTTTGTGTAAAACTAATTTGTCGGCTTTATCCAGCATGACCAACTGTCAAAATCTCAATATTGTGATTAATATTCTTTTATTATTTGTAAAATTGAAAAAAATGTGTAAGACACCAATGACATTGCCAATTACTGGTCAATTATTATTCCTACAATAAAAGAATATAAATCCTATAAATAAGAACATTGCTTGTAAACTATGGCTTTCTAATATTTATATTTCACTATGCGTTTTGTTTTTTTATATTATTTTAGAAGTATCGATCGTACCTGCAACAATGTCTGCTAGTTTCAGTTTCATTAATTTATTAGATTCATGTCTCGAAATATTGGGTTTGGACAATAGAAGGGTGGTCTTTTTACCTCATGATTTTATTTTCTACTAAAGGTGCTTTTAAATTTACAAAAGTTAAGAAGCGAAAGTGATTAATCTCCTAGTATTTACGTCATTTTGATACAAGTAAAGCAAATGCTTTGGATGGATTAAATTTTAATGAGGCGAAAACGAGGACGACAACGAAATAGAAAGATAGTATGGTTTTGATTCTGTGACAACTGGATTCCACCATGAGACCACCATAATTATTAGAACCCATCTGACAAGTAATATTTTTATTATTAATAATAAACAAACAGTCACACATGTTTATAATTAATACAAATATATCGTTGGTAAAAAGACCTATAGTTTCCGAAATTAAATCAAGTATTAATTTTAGCATTGCTTAGAAATATAATCGGCAACATATGCGACACATTTAAGCTAAAAGCATAAACACAAATAAGAAATTAAACGACATAACAAAAACAATGAAGCAGCAAGGCATTGTTCAAGCAAATGTCCATAAGTAACACAAGAATTAGTAGCTTTTTATTCAGCCTTATATGAGTTCAGCAATACTCCTCCTAAACTTATGTCTGGATGTCTCAAAAATATCAATATCCGCAAGCTCTTTTATGAAACTGTTGCTTCTGTAATAAGTTTTACTCGGCTTAATAAAAAATAATGCTTATTTATGATTTGTTCTCACTTGCCTTCTGAGTACACGGAAATATATTTTCTTTAATAATAATGGAGCATTTTTCTAAGATTTTATACCTGTTAGATCCCGTCGACGTTTTAAAAATGTTATATTGTTAAAGTTGTAACTTCTCATTTTATCCTGATGTACATGATGATAAGGATTCCATACAGGGCTTGCGAATTCCAATCGACTCCGCACGTAATTGTTAAAAGCGTCTTATATGTTAGAGAACTCTCAAAGGGTTTTGCCTATGTGTAATATGACTTACTCATATCCTTTCTCTTCTTTACAACATATTGTTCAATCCCCGCGCTATCTTAAGGAAAGTTTTAATTTCCTGCATAATTCTAACACGTTATCTTTAAGGTCATCAGAAAATCTTGGTCTTATGACTCCCGTACACGGCACAACTTTTTTCCATCGTTCGTTTGCAGTGCAAGCTGTACATCTATGGAATTCTCTTCCGGTTTCGATAAGACGTGCAGAAACTATTTATACATTTAAAAACCGTCGGAATTCCCATTTTCTGACATTGTAATACTTTTATTTTGATATCTGATGTGCTTACAACTGCCTTCTAACTGGACTAGATCAACGTATGCATTTGTATTTATACTTATTGTATGTATATATATGTATATATATCTTGTATGTGTATGGTGTATGTATGTATATGCTAATATATATTATATATATATATATATATATTACTAGCAATTTACACCGCCGTCTCTCCCACTTCCTTCTACTCCTCTCCATCCAAAGGTTGCCTGGAAGAGACCGCTTTAAGCGATAAGGCCGCCCATTGCATCACGTATACTAGATGGTTTTGTAATTAATGTTCAACGTTTTTTTGTGGTGTACAATAAAGAGTTTTTGTATTGTATTGTATTGACTTTGAAGTGGGACGAAAGACCCAACAGTGCAAAAGTGAACTAGCTAAACACTTTGTCGTATTCAATGTTGGGTTTACCATCAGAATAGTAATGTCCCACTGTTTGGGCACAGGTCTTCCGTATGGGTGGCATACAGAGATTAGACCAAGACGCCAGTCAAGTGCGGGTTTCGATGTTGGATTTATTTGTTCTTAGATTTTCACGCACATCACTCATTAAATAAAACTAGTTTTTCACGGGTTAATGCATGAAACGTCAATAAATAAATAAAGTTTCGTGCATTAACCCGTGAAAAACTAGTTTTATTTAATGTTGGATTTACTTAAATAAATAAAAATGCAACCATATCATGGTGTATTTATTACTTTAACTATTTATTGCACAAATGTGTATTTAGTACTTTAATATATTTATATATTAAAACTTTCTTTAAATATTAAAATCTAGCAGTTATCCAGTACACATTTTCATTGACAGGCCAATCATAAAATATAAAATGACATTCAAATACGTCAAAGTAATCTGTTATATATGTTATAGCTTTTCAAATAGCCTCGTGTATTGTACTCATCATCATCATCATCATCATCATCAGCCTATTAATGTCCCCACTAATAGGACACAGGCCTTCCCTATGGATGGAATAGGGAGATTGGGCCATATGCGGATTGTGGAGTGCTAACAATTTTCGATTCAGCCGAGACCAACGGCTTAACGTACCTTTTGAAGCACGGAGGAGCTCGAAATAGTATATTTTTGGTCACCCATCCAATGACCGACCAAAGTTGCTTAACTTCTACAGTCGCAGCTAATTACGCTAATCACTTTCACCATTTAGCTCCTCATCGTGTATTGTACTATCTACACTATTTGTATTTTTGCATTAAATTACGCAATTACAGTTAAATTTATTTGACAAAAATAATCATACCCAAAATAATGAATTAATCCGCAATGCAGTAATTCACAATTTGCTTACATTCTGTATAATTAACGCATCGATTTGAGCCTATTTAATTAATGGATCAAATTTATAGGAGGCTTAGGTAATTTAATTTTGCTACCTACAGATCTACCTACGTACAGCCATTCGACGAGCGAACACAAAGCCCTAATTAGGTGTAATAAAAACATGAAATTTCTAAGTGCGAGTCGAGCAAAGTTGTTATAAGGTCGATTCTGAAAATTCTACGCAAATTAATTCTGTAATAGCCGTACTGTAGGTACTCAGACACTTTAATTAATTTTGATAATAATTATTAAACGGCGTCTTGTCTTGTTCTATTACTATCGACAGTAACAGCGTCAAGTTAAATGAAATTTAAAATTAACTAACCTTTCTGATTAGATAGGGAACCTTTTGCGAAATATTGGAATTATTATAACTTTAAAGTGCTAATTTTTGTTCGAGTAGGGCGTCCCCCCTCTAAAAGCTAAACTTTTGGCTTGAAAAACCTGTAAGAATTCATGATAACAGTGCTTTTCATGAAGTGTTAAGGAAAATTAAAACGGTTAAGATAGATTTCTTAGTTAAAGTCGTTTAAATTTGTTTAAAGAAAATATCTTACCTATTGAAAATCCCTTAGAAGAAAACATTAATAGTGACATACGCGGGACACTCAGAAAGTTTTGAGAAACTAAAAAACTAAATACTATGAAAAAAACATTTTTATTAAATCTTTTCAAAGAACTCTCCACCATCCTCTATACAAAGTTTCATGCGCGTGAACCAATTTCGAAAACATTTTTTCCAGTCCTCCGCAGATACCTCTTCCACTGCCTTCTCAAACGCTGCTAGCGCTTCTTCCGGCGATGAAAACTGTATCCCTTTGAGCTGATTTTTTATTTTAGGTAATAAAAAGAAGTCACACGGAGACAAATCAGGACTGTAAGGAGGGGTACATACAACGGTTTAGGTTATATTTCTGCAAAAAAATATTTTTATTCTTAATAGTTTTTTTTAGAAATGTCACCACGTTAAGTCACTAATTCTGCCATTATGTAACCTAAACAATTTTAATCGTCATAAATAGATTCGAATAAATCTTCTTTGAGTAT